GGAAAAATCCACGTTCTTGATGTGAATCTTGAATCCGGATGAAGAAATTTCAATATCCTATGCAATTCGCCTTAATTCCACGTTGTTAGCCACGTTCTTCGCCTCCAAAATATGTATAATATGGAGATTTTTAGGTCTAGTGAGGTTTTGCATATGTATTCTGCTGTTCTCTATTTGTAGGAGTCGAAAATTGGTTGAAAATCACGTTCAAATTGGTTTCCAAAAGAGTTCTAATCGAATAAGGAAAGTTGCCTTTGCGCGCGAATTTTTTTCTCGGCACAGCCGTCCGTATTTTAGTCATAACTTTCTCTCATGATATCCGATTGAGACGATTCAAAGTGCGTTGGAAAGATAACTCTAAGGGCTACAACTTTTCTAGAAATAGAGATTTTCCAATTCGGACGTTTACTATGCCAAAAAGGGGTATCAATCTTCGGCTAAAAATCTGGAATATATCTTGTGCGATTGGAAATTGATTTTGATAATATTTTAATCATATTCCATTCCCTTTTGAATTCTAATTCCATCCAATTGTCTTCTAACAATTTTCAAAGTATCTTCTTGAGGTCCGACTCAACCATTGAGTATTTGCAATTTAAGCCTCAAACTTTGGATCTCACTATTTTTCACTACATTTTGATTTTTTCCTCCAATTATTCATCAAACATCGAGTTTTACCTACAAGATGCAATGTGACACAATTTAGGTCATATTTTGCTAAAAGAACAATAAAATTCTATAGTTTCAAGCCCCGAATAAGTGTAGAAAATACACTTATCTGGGTGCTTTGGACATTTGACATTATTTGTTTATTGTATTTTATAATTAAAGGCCATTTGACCAACAAATATTGGAAGAATGTTATTTAACCAAATAATTGATTGACTAGGTTATTTAACAAACTCTCCAAATGAAAATTGGTTGCTAAATTTTGACCCCACCAGATTGGATTGGGCTCCGCCCCCTGATAGTGACCATCAATATATCATAATTAACAAATCAGGCTTGTTTATGGAATAACTAGAATCATTCAATTGATGCGTAGGAGCACTGCTGAATATGAACAAATTTCACAAACTGATATCCTATAGGTACATCCTTTACTTGAATCACTAGACTCTGGCTTATATTTGCAAGTTACTGTACATATAGAATGTGAATTTAAGGTTGTGTACTGTATTGTGACCAGTACTATTTGTTAGTGACCTTTATATTGTAGAATATTATTTAGTAGATATTTGGAATTTCAGTTTCAAACACTGAACAATATTCCCCAGAGAAGATAATTCACTATTTTCCTCCATTTGCATTTAGGGAAAGATGCAATCTTCTAGTTTTTCAAATTGTTAATTAATCTTTATTACTTTCAACCGCAATAACTTTGACGTTGTGAATTGCTGTACAATTGAATTTTCATACCACCTGTTCGACAATATGCCTCAGAGAGAGATACTCAGTATACTTTTCCATTCCTTTCTATATAAATGAAACTGCGAGAAACTCTATTACGAAAACTAATAAATTAAGAAGTTGCTAAGATTGACATACTGGTGGATATTGAAATATTAGATATTTGAAAATTTTCGTCGGGCCATGGGGCGTCGTGTAAAGGACTATGAAAAATAGTAAACTATATAATGGATAAGTTGTTTTAGTTTTAGAGATAGAATAATCTAGTCTGCATTTGGTTAATGTTATCATTTCTTTTTTCTGAATTAAGATAGAATCCATGATGTTGATTTTTTGAAACCATCATCAAATTTGGTTCCAAAGGTTGCAACATCGATGCAGAATATTTTCAGGTTACACTAAGTTAGTGAAAATGTAGTTAAACTCATGATATTGACTTGAAACTACGTCATAGAGTTGGATTTATTAGATATATGACCCTTATGAGGGACATTACTCATTATCTACCTGCTAGGAAAGCTATTTCATCACATGTAATGCAATGTGGTGCTTGTGGAAGCAGCAGATCAATTGCTATTGGGATTGTCTTATTTCCTGTCAAGCAAATATCATTAGCAAGCATGATTTTTTTTCCTTGTTTTCCTCTTATTTTCCTTGCTTATTGTTTTTATATAAAAAATGCATTAATTATTGTCATATCTAAGTTTTGTAGCAAATGGAACTGGCAAGACGCAATTGTTGTAGATTTGTGAGCTCTAACATCCAATTTAGTCGCTTCTTCTCTTGTGGTCCATTTGACCCCCCTCCCCTCATACCTCCTCGTAGGGTGGTTGTCACAGGTAACCTTTCTATTCTCCATCACATGTTATCTTATGAGCGATATTGCATCGAAGTTCCATTGGAGAGCAAAATGGAAGATATGACATGCTTGCCCCTACTGGGATATCAAAGCTCATTCATTTTATTTCTGTTTTTAATATTGTTTTGAAAATGTTTATCTTAACAAAAACTCTTGCATAAGCTTCTTACCCATTTGATATGATGGTGAGGTTGACTCATTCTCTCTTAAACTTGGTGCACAAAGTTTTAAAATAATGAATCAGGATGCAGCCACATGTTATTAAGAAGTTGACTTTTCTTGCATAGCTATTATTACATAAGCAAATGCACATTATATCTTCTTTTAAATTTGATAACAATGTTGCCTTTATATTTGTTTGATGGAACTGACAAACCTATTTGTAACGCCTAAAATTTCATAGACTTAAATTTTGCGGTGTTACCGATATCATTTCATAATGCGGAAATATTTAATTGAAAATTTAAACATTTAATTTATTTGAATCTTAGTACACCGAATTAAATAAACATAGTCACGAAATTTAGGACATTTGACAGAAATAAATAAAAACACAAAAACATCTAACGGAGTTTATTGGTGAATATTTTCCCAAATAATTTTATTTGGCAACCTGCGCACCGCTCAGCCACCATCTACGTTGACCTGAAATTTTAAAATTTGAAGGAATAAGTAATTTAAACTCAGTAGGATACGTGCGTCCAAAACAATATAATAACTCTTGAAATATAAATTTATAACATTCCATATCACCATTTCATCAAGAGCAGTTGGTGATCAATCGAATACTCTGACACATTTCTATGATGGCAATCGTGAAGTATGATATTCTCCTGTTAGATCGTAGCACAAGATTTTCATTATGACATGTAAAGATGCGAGTAGTGCTTGCTCAGATGGATTTGGATGATGCTTTATTGGGATTTTACAAGATTCCCTCAAAATGGACGTTCAAGGAGAAACAATGTAAGAATCAAAAGGCCTTGTCACATATTCATCTTTCGAACGTTTTAAAGAAGAAAACCGTTGCTGCATTATGGTTGAAGTTAGAGTAATTGTGCACAACGAAAAGTTTAACCAGCAAATTGCATTGGAAGCAGCGATTATATTCTCATAGTATGACGAAGGTACATCACTTGAGAAATCTTATTTCTTGAGTACTCTTGATTTAAAAGAGTACAAGTACATTGGTAAATGTGGAGTCCTAAAAGTTAGCAAAGGTGCCCGTGTTGTGATAAAATGGTAGAGAAGATCCCAATTATATGTCTTGTAGGGTTCTACAAAATCTTTGGATATCAATCAGTAGAAGTTAGACACTCGGGTGGAGTTTGAGTTTGGTGCAGTACCATTGGAGTTTAGTTTATGGTCTACATTAAAGAATACATCTCAGTCGAGTTCAGAAGTCATAGGTAATGTCGCTGGCCACCATCATCAGTGGTGCTACAGTATTGAATTGCTAGAAACAGACCCAAGAGAGATAGTAGGCCTCCGCAAAGGTACGAGAAAGTAGATTGTTACTTATACTTTAAATGTGGTGAAGGTATTGAGTATAAGGAAGAGTTTTCTACTGAAGCAGTTAGTTGTGTCGATTCTGTTACAGGGTATGTTTCTGCCCTATTTGGTAATTATTGTTGAGTTATTTGTAATTTTGTTGCTCGTGGTGATAGTTCGAGCAATTTTAGCACCCAAGGTAATCTTAATGTGAAGTGCTTGGATTCAGTTATTAAATTTATCCTAGTTGGGTTTTTTGGAAGAGGTGGAGATTTTGTTGTTGGAAAATTTTGTTGAAGAGTTAAGTTATATTCCTTCCAGTGAAATTTGTCTCTTGGTGGAGAATTTTTGAAGCTTTGTTCATTGTAGTGGAATTTGTGTCAAAGTGGAGATTTGTTGAATTGTGACTCACATTCCGTCGAGAATTGATGTTTTAGCTAGAAAGGCCTTGAAGAAGTCTAAAGATGGACCAAGAAGAAGTTGGTGCATTTTGGTTCCTTGAGCGCTTATTTCCCGCTCGAGCGCTCAGAATAGGGAGCCTGCTGCTTGCCTATCGCTAGCTTAGGTGGTCGAGCATCAGTGTTATCCGGCCTATGGCCTGTTTCGCAATTTGATAAATTTTATGATATTCTTTCCATCTAAAACACTATTTTTAGGGTTTGACATGTACTCTATATATTTTAGGCTCTTCGTGGTGTTTTTCACGTAAATCTTGATATTCTTGATTGTTATTTTCATCTTGCAATATTACTCTCGTTTATTGAATCCAAACGAGGTATCAAAGCAAATTGGTATCGCCTTGTTTTATAACAGAAATACATTTGTAAAGTCATACTTCATGCAAATACAAATGTACTTATATGTGTGCATATATAGTTGCATTATCAATCAACAATTCACAATCTTCTTGTCGTAATTACTTTTGCTTTATAACACGATCAAGTAATGTTTTGTGTTGGTTGTGATGTTACCTCAGGTTTAGGGATGGTTACACCATTGGGTTCTGGTGTAGAAACTACGTGGAAGCGTCTATTAGAAGGGGAATGTGGAATAAGGTCAATAACTGTTGAGGATCTCAAGATGAATGCGTTTGATATGGAGACGCAATTGCGTACGTTTGATCAATTAACATCCAAAGTCGCCGCAGTTGTTCCCTACGGAACCAACTCACATGAATTTAACGAGGAGTTGTGGCTTAACTCTAAGGTAATAATAGTAATTAATTATTGCTCTCAGTTTAAAATGGGCCACTTGGTTAATGCTATTCTGAGTCAAGCTTCATTTGTAGTTAATAAAAATAAAAATTGATGTTTATAAGATGATGAAGACCTAAAAAATATAAATTTGATTTTGAGCAGAATGTTCATGGTCTAAGAAGGTCGATTATAAAATTTCTTCCCATAGGAGCATAAAATATTGATATCATTTCTGGACAATCTTAATGACATTGAATTTTAGATTTCACAAAAGGAAACTGTGGGATGGCTAGAATAGGAGAAGAAAACCTTCAAACTCATTCAAGTACATAGGGAAAAATATGATACCAGATCATCATATCTTGCAACTAAGATTATAGTTGAAAGAGAAATAAAACTTAACAAAATCAACCACTTTTGTATTAATTTAAGGTAAATCCACTTCTAATAATACAAATAAACTCGTGACCACTTGAATAAGTTTTAGCTCGTTCCATCAAAATTAAATTATTATTTAAATACATATGCTCTTAAATGAGGTCGGTTTACTTTGTTGTAGCATGCCAAGTGCAGCCATATGGTTTATGACATAGTCAAATCTTTTGATGACCAAAACAAGAATAAGAATAAAAATAAGGATGATATATTGTGATTTGTTTGATCATACATAGTAGTAGGTGGACCACTTCTTGGTGGAAGTTGGAAGGCTCCGGGTGGATTTATTTGTTTCTTTAGTGCTTACCACCTTTTCCAGCAACACTCCTTATGATCATGTAAAGATTTTGAGACTTCTGAATTTTGTGCAGGATCATAGATCTATTGCCAGGTTTATAGGCTATGCATTATGTGCTGCTGACGAGGCTCTTAGAGATGCAAATTGGATGCCCACCAATCAGAATGAGAAGGAACAAACGGTATTGTTCATTTTATACTGATAACAAAGGGGTGATTTCATTTTGGGTGTAAGTGATTTTTTCATTTCTAACTTCAAGATCACCAGGGAGTTTCCATAGGTGCAGGGACGGGTAGCATCAGTGATGTATTGGATGCTTCGAGAATGATCTGTGAGAAGGTTTTTGCGTCTTTTTTTTTTACTAATTAATATTTTCCATTAATTCTCCTATTTCTTGGCAATATCTGGTATTAGTCTCCACCAGAGATTTTTAAAGGGTTTGCGAAGCTTTAGAAGAAACATATATCCTCAGTTAGGGCTGGGCAAAAAAATCGAAAAATCGACCAAACCGACTTGGGTCGGTTTGACATAGTTAATTGGTTTGGTTTGGTTTTATTTTAAACAAAACCACGGTGATTTGGTTCAGTTCGGTTATGGTTTAAAGTCTCAAACCACTGGTTAACCGACCTAGTCCACTTACACATGTTTCCATTTTTTTGAAAAAAGAAAAGTCAAAATCAAAAGTTTAATGATGTTCTCCAGAATGTAGAGGTGTTAAACTGCCTCTTTGAGTAGTCTCGTTGTATACTATATAATTTTTTTTTATGAGGACACTTTCAAGAAAATATTGATATTATTTTATGTTCTTTATAAACATTGTCTTCTGTTTCGGCTGGTAGCTTTGTTTTTTAGTTAGTTTTTGTATATGGCAAGTTTTACTTGTACTAAGTTCGCCTTCTGAAAATGCATGTTGAGATAATGATTATGGATTTATGGTTATGTATTAGTTACAATACTGAATCATTTTAATTACATGTTATGTTCTAATTCGTTAATTACAGTTTAGATGATGTGAAAATGCAGGTTGAGATAATTATTTTCATTCTTTGAAAACTGAAATTTCAAAGATATTTTTAGTTGCTATAGGTTTTAACTCAAATAAAAAAGTTGTATAAATAAAAGTTGCAGAGTTTTTTTAATAAAAAAATTCAATATGGACAAAAACTCAAACCGACTAACCGTACTGTACCGAGCCAAATCAAACCGAATCGATTTGGTTTAATTTAAGAGCTAGATTAGGTTGGTTTTGGTTGAAATTTACCCAAACCGACTAATTCGGTTTTGGTTTTGGGTTGGGATTGAAACCGACCCAAACCAAATCGTGCCCAGGCCTATCCTCAGTGAATTAAGATGGCATTTTGCCTATGTTTTGTACTATTTACTTTCTATATCTTCATGATACCCTTTTAAAAAAAAAAAAAAAAATATTGGTGAAAACATTTCTTTTTTCTTTTCTGATTGCAGCACGTACGTCGGCTCAGTCCATTTTTTGTTCCTAGGATACTGATTAACATGGCTTCTGGCCATGTTAGCATGAAGTACGGATTCCAGGTTTGCATTTTAATGTCTTTAAGTCATTTGAAAAGACATGAAAGCTTAAAAAGATGCATAATTAGGTAGATCTCTCATGTGACCCTAAAGATCTTAGCATGTTATTGGTAATTTTTATTTTCTTCTGCTTCTTATCTGTAAAATCAAGGTAGCCTGAATTTATTTAAGAATAATTTGAAATAATGCATAATGGGATGTCCATGTATATGCCATGCCACAATATTTCTCATCAGTATATAAATAAATAGATTAGAAAGAATACATGAGAGAAAACATGGCGACTTGCCTCACATATATTTAATCATTTTCTATTATATATAAGATATAGTTGCATATTCTAGTCTTGATTTTGAATCTAGGGACCAAACCATGCTGCAGTGACTGCTTGTGCTACTGGGGCACATTCCATTGGTGATGCTGCTAGGATGATTCAATTTGGAGATGTGGATGTCATGGTTGCCGGGGGAACAGAGGCAAGCATTGATGCTTTGTCTATAGCAGGATTCTGTAGGTAATGTTTTTAAAATTTTGGCATGACTGTTCGTCCTTGTGAATCTCATAATGACCAAGTAATCCACCCCTCCACCAGAAAGGAGACATGAAAGATGCAGTCTTATTCTATGAAGCAGTTGCTACGACATATTCAGCTGAGTCAAAGTGTGCTCTTTGCCAATGCTTACAAAGTAGTTGGTTGATAGGTCAATTTCTTATAATATTTTAAAAAGGAATTTTCGAAGAATTCAAAATGGTCTAGACGTTTTTACTTTTTTCACATCATGGAAGTTTGAAAGACTGTATGCTAATGGACTTTAAGTTTGACATATAATCACGGAGTGAATTGCCTATTTAGTCACTGAACTTTCACCCATGCTTCTAAGGGTTCACTGAACTTTCAAAATCACCTAAGTCATCACTAAACTTTGCAAAATGTTTCCAAGAGGTCACTGAACTTTGCAAAAGGTTTCCACGAAGTCACTGAACTTTAAAAATCACCCAATTCGTCACTGAACTTTGCAAAATGTTTCCCAGGAATCACTAATTCATTGGTCTCCTAGGAAACATTTTGCAAAGTTTAGTGACCTCGTGGAAACATTTTGCAAAGTTTAGTGACCTCATGGAAACATTTTGCAAAGTTTAGTGATGAATGAGGTGATTTTTAAAGTTCAGTGACCTCTTGGAAACATTTTGCAAAGTTCAGTGATGACTTAGGTGATTTTGAAAGTTCAGTGACCCCTTAGAAGCATGGCTGAAAGTTTAGTGACTAAATAGGCAATTCACTCTATAATCACGTCCCATATACTATATGTGTTGAACCTTTGAAATTTGGATTTATGCATCATTTGAACTCATAGCCAACTCCGGATTGGAAATAAAATAAGTCAAACTTTTCAGAATGCACCTTATCTTTGGAAAAATGGAAAAGACCATAGTGGAATGAGGGAAAACTAACTTGATTCTTCTACAGTTGAGGCAGGGAAGAGAAATCTTAGAATTTGGGAAACCAGTTGTGAATATTCTCGCAAAACACTAAAAGAAATGAAATATAAAAGATAAAAAGATAATGTAGTTTTATAGAATTTTGATCACGTTCCTATATGTCCACATCCTACTACTTATTTGGAAAATCAAGTATTGGAGTATCTGTTGTGTATGTTGCTTATCTGTGTCCATTCTTTGCATGCTTCACCTGATCTTCTACTTAAAAACATATCCAAGAAAAACAAAGCCAACTTTGCCAATTGGAGAAAGTAATACTTATCAGTAGTGGGAGTATGTTGAGGATGTCACCTTTTTTGCAAAAAAATAAAGTGCAGGATATTGATATTGAAATTATTGAGGTATAACTTAGTTGTATATAATTATGAACACAGAAGTATTTTATGGAATGAAAAGTCTTTTAACAAGTGTGTTAATGCTGCCTAATTTATACAGGTCAAGGGCATTGACGACCAAGCATAATGCTGCTCCTCGAGAAGCCTCGAGACCTTTTGATTGTGGCCGTGATGGATTTGTGTAAGTAACATTTGTGGCATTGAGAAGTTTTCTCTCGTGTCCCAAATAGCTCTTGAATCTCAATTCCTTTCAACTCATAAATCAGACATATTGTTGAAATACAGGATGGGTGAAGGTTCTGGTATCGTGGTTTTGGAGGTGAGTGCTATTATAAGCACATTAAAATACATGTCTATTTTACCATTAAAACATAATGAAGTTGGTTTTCCATAATTAAAAGGGTTGCGAAGTGCTAACCAGTTTGGCTCAAGAGTAAACTTGATGTACCAACTCTGGTTGCTTTAATTGGTGTATCGACGACATTATGAGAAATCTATGATTAGTAATTAAATGGTGCAATGAACTATAAAGAATTATTGGATTATTACAAGCCTTGATAATGTGCTATGCTTTGTTAAGTTGTATGTTCTTCTATTTGAGTAACCTTTTATTGCATGCATTATTATTTTAATCTTTTAAGGAACTGGAGCATGCAAAGAAGCGAGGAGCTAAACTCTATGCAGAGGTCCGCGGTTATGGGATGTCAGGTTACTTCTACCGTTGGTCTTTTTTCATCTTTGATATATTTTCTGATTTTATTTAACACTAGATAGTATTATTTTAAGCAGGTGATGCATATCACATAACTCAACCCCATAGTGATGGCAGAGGTGCTATTTTGGCAATGACTCGTGCTTTGAAACAGGTGAGGAATTAACATTTATTTTCTAAGCTGTCATATATCCATATGGTGGCTAGCGTGTTACAAGATTTTTTATGCATGTAAAGACATGTAGTCTACTATCTTGTAGTGTAAAGGAGGTTGAAATCCTTCATTGATGATATATTTGTTTGATTAAATAATTCCAATTTTCTGGTGAAGATGTCGCCCATTGTTCAAATAACAAGTTCCCCCTTTATAACAGTAAGGAAAGATCACTTTCGTTGGTCAATGATACGTTCTTTTATTAACTTATAGAAGTATTCGCCAACCTTCCATGTTATATAAAATAAGATCTAGTGCAGATATAGTCCTATTTATCTAACGAAGAAAAGATCTGATGCAGATATAGTCCTAATTATCTAAACAAGGAAAGAACATTTAGGTGGTTGAGGGTTAGGCATTGAACCATACTGATACATAAGTACTTCATAGAAGAAGTATGAGCTGGAGGATGACATAAAGAAAGATACCTTACCTCTTAAGACAACTTTTGATTTTGGGGAAATATTTCTTATATAGATAGATATAAAATCAGGAAACTCAAAATGGCTCCAACTAAAATTTTCCCCTTAGCATTGTTAAGTAGATTGAATAAGATTCCGAAGATCGTCGAAGATTACGATTATATTATTATAATTGTATTAGATATGGATAGATTATTTTTACCATTAATTAATGTTGTAATTGATTACTTCTATATTTAGTTGTTATTTTAATCCTATTTAATGAGAACCTTTCACAAAGAGGGGTATCGAGTCTTTTATTGAGTATATTTGACATGGTATCAGAGCCGTTCTGATCCTAAACAAATTAACCATTGAATTTC